CCCTTGAGTCCACAGGCCGACGCTCTATCCACTGAGCCAAACCGGTTAGGGCCACTTAAAATTTTTTAAAGTGTTTTAAATATACAGTTCAGTGGCATTTCATATATTCACAAGGTTGTGCCACCACCACTATCTAGTTCCAGAACAATTTCCAATTTCATACCTCAGAAGGAAACCCTATCCACATTCTACACACACACACACACACACACACACACACACACACGAAGAAGAAAATGAAGAACCTCCATACCCATTAGCAGTCACTCCCTATTCCCTCCTCCTCCAGCCCCTGGCAACCACGAAGAATCTGTTTTCTCTCTCTGGATTTGCCTATTCACATACGTGGAATTCTATAATACGTGGCCTTGTATGTGTGGCTTCCTTCACTTGGCATAATGTTTTCAAGGTTTATCCCTGTTGTGATGTGTCTGTGCTTCATTTCTTCTTATGGCTGAACGATATTGCATTGTATGGATCTACCACATTTATTTACCCATTCATCTGTGGATGGGCATTTGGGCCGTTTCCACCTTTTGGCCATTCTGAATAGTGCTGCCGCGTATATTCATGTACAGGTTTTTGTATGAACACCTGTCTTCCGTTCTTTGGATATAGACCCAGCAGTGGGAGAGTCTTATGAAGTTTTGAATGAATGAGCAGATGGTTATTGGGTGGCTCCTCTGTGGTGGGCCCTGTGCTGGGCAGTGCTGGGCACAGTGATGGCGGAGACAGGCCCAGGCCCGGTCCTCACAGGGCTCTCGGTTCAGTGGGGAGGAGGGAAAGAAATGCAAATGACCAATGTGCGTGATGCTGAGAGGGAAGGAGACAAAGTGCTGAGGCTGAACAATAAGACCAGACATGGTCTAGGCATCTGGGAAGGCTTCCCAGAGGAGGTGACATTTGAGCTGAGATCTGAGGAAGGCCAAGGGGATTGTTAGCGGCCTGGCAGCTGGGACGAGGGCAGGGAAACATTCCAGGTATGGGTGAATCATTAGAGGCAGGTATGAGTGCTGTTCCATCATTTATTCACTGGCCGATCTCAGGGAGGTGCCTCCCCCACCTGAGCCTCCATGTCCTCATCCCTAAAATGAGTCCCTGGTAGGATAATGGGGGATCCCAACTACCCAACCGGTGCACTGTAAAGAGTTAGCATTTACTGAGGATTTTCTTTGTACCAGGCCTGGAGTTAGTACTTTGCACAATGCTAATAGGATCACTCATACTTAATATGAACTGAGCACTTATTATATCCTAAACCAGCGGTTCTCAACCTGTGGGTCGCGACCCCTTTGGGGGTCGAACGACCCTTTGACAGGGGTCGCCTAAGACCATCGGAAAACACATATATAATTACATATTGTTTTTGTGATTAATCACTATGCTTTAATTATGTTCAATTTGTAACAATGAAATTGGGGGTCACCACAACATGAGGAACTGTATTAAAGGGTTGCGGCATTAGGAAGGTTGAGAACCACTGTCCTAAACCTTCATCTAAGCCCCTTACATTGAGTGGTTTGTTTAATCGTCTTAGAACCCTGTGAGGTAGGTGCTATGATTTTTCCTCTGTTAGGGAGGAAACTAGTCCTAGAGATATCAGACAGCTTCCCCCGGCCACAGCAGACAGCGCTGGTGGGGAAGAGCTCTACCTGCCTGGGTTCCCATCGTGGCGCTACCACGTGCTGGCTGCGTGTCCTGGGACAAGTGACTTTACCTCTCTGTGCCGTTGCTTCCTCCTCTATGCAATGGGCTCCCTTCTTCATAGGGTTTCTGTGAGTTAGAGGCCATGTGTGTGCCTGACACATAGAAAGCCTCAGAAGGTGGTGTTAGTGTGATGAGAGAGGCAATGCAATGAGACAAGAAAAAGAATAGCAGGCCGAGTAGCATACTGAATCCTGACTACTCCCTCCTGGCTGTGTGACCTGGGGCAAGTTTCTTAACTTCTCCAAGCCTCAGTTTCTCCATCGTTAAAGCAGGTGTGTCTTCCTGGCTGAGTAACTCACTTGGTTAGAGCGTCATCCCGATATGCCAAGGTGGTGGGTTCGATTCCCAGTTCGAGCAACATACAAACATCAATCAGTGAATGCAGAAATAAGCAGAACAACAAATTGATGTCTCTCTAAAATCAATAAACAAAAATTTAAAAAAAATTTTTTTAAGTGGGTGTGTGGAAAAGAGTGAACATAGCAGATCTGAGACCTTTATCCTTTGAAAGGCCTGCTTACAAGGTTGGCCCGTGGCTGGCTTCTGGGAACTTGTATTTTGAGAGTGTCCTCCCCATCCCCTGAGTGGGAAGAGTGGCTCACTGTGCCTGCCCTGTTTGTTTGAGTGACGTGGTTTGTGTGGAACACCTGCTTTCCTTCGGGGACTCTGGGATTTTGGTATGTGCCGGGCACAGGGTGCTTAGGTGACCAGCCCCAATAAAAACCCTGGGCTCTGAGTCTCTAAGGAGCTTCCCTGACAGACAGCATTTCGTGTGTGTGCTCACATCTTGCTCCTGGGGGATTGCTATGTCCGGTGTGACTCCACTGGGAGAGGACTCTTGGAAGCTTGAGCCCGGTTTCCTCTGGACTCGCTCCAGGCACCGTTTCCCTTTCCCGAGGGCGCCTGGTATCTTTTTGCTGTGATACATCATAGCCGTGAATACGGACTATATGCCGAGTCCTGTGAGTCCCCTTCGTGAATCGCTGAATCTGATGGTGGTCTTGGGGACGCCTGACCCAGTGGGTCTAGCTGTCTAGCTGCCTTTGGGGTTGTTAAAAGGATTAAATTAGATAATAATAATAAAGCGGTAATATGCAAATTAACCCTCACACCCTCACAAGATGGCTGCCTATGACCAGGCTGGCAGGGGGTTAGTGAGGGATGACCAAACAACTGAACAGCAGTCTGTGTGGGGCAACCAGGCCGGCAGAGCGGGGAAGTTGGGGGCAACCAGGCCGGCATGGGGGGCAGTAAGGGGTGACCAGGCTGGTGGTGGGGGACAGTTAGGAGTGACCAGGCTGGCAGGGAGGGGGCAGTTGGGGGCAACCTGACCAGCAGGGGGTGCAGTTAGGGGCGATCAGGCCGACATGCAGAGGCAGTGAGGGGTGATTAGGCCAGTGAGTGGGGGCAGTTAGGGGCGACCAGGCAGGCAGGCAGGTGAGTGATTAGGAGCCAGTGGTCCAGGATTGTGAGAGGGATGTCCGACTGCCGGTTTAGGCCCGATCCTGGGATTGGCAGTCGGACATCCCCCAAGGGGTCCCAGATTGGAGAGGGTGCAGGCTAGGCTGAGGGCCCCCCCCCTGCACAAATTTCGTCCACTGGGCCTCTAGTATGTAATATTGGTAGTGACTGTCAGTGTGTCACACTGTAGGTGCTCAACAGAAGGTTAGTTACCACAATGATCAGTTTTGTTCTTAGGAATATTAATATTGATTTGGGGGAGATGGAGTGAGTTGAGGGCCCAGTGGGCCAGGGTCCTTGCTCAGCTGATGTCCTTACTCCCCACAGAGGATATATCGGTGGTGTTCAGCAGTGCCTCCTGGGAAGGCCGGGCTGACTTCTCCCAGGCCGACGTGCACCGCCAGATTGCCATCGTGTTCAAGACACCGCCCTACGAGGACCTGGAAATCGTTGAACCTGTGACAGTCAATGTCTTCCTGCAGCGGCTCACTGACGGGGTCTGCAGCGAGCCTCTGCCCTTCACATACCTGCCTCGGGACCACGGTAACCACAGCAACTCGGGGCGACACCCCCCCCCCCCTCAGAGACCAGGCCTTTGGCCTTGCTTGGGGCAACTCAGAGGGAAAGGGGAAGAGGCAGAAGTAGAATGCAGGCTCAGAGCTGGACGGACTGTATGACCTTGGCCTCTCAGTGTCTCATTCTTCTTCTGTGCAGAATGGAAATAATAATAATACCCACCTCATGGCATCTGGGGGAGGATTTTTAAAAATATATTTTTTATTGATTTCAGAGAGGAAGGGAGAGTAAAAGAGAGATAGAAACATCAATGATGATAGAGAATCATTGATTAGCTGCCTCCTGCACGCCCCACACTGGGGATCGAGCCTGCAACCCGGGCATGTGCCCTTGACCGTACTCGAACCTGGGACCCTTCAGTCCACAGGCGGATGCTCTATCCACTGAGCCAAACAGGCTAGGGTTTGGGGGAAGATTTAATCATTGCTCTCCTCATCACGCTACTCATGCCTGGCCCTGTGCTGAGGACATAGTGGTGACCAAATAGCCTCATAATTCTCAGACCTATGGAGGGCAGACCCATTCACATACAGTGGGCAGGACTGGGAAGGAATTGCTTAGGGGACTCATTGCCCAGAGGGGGTACCTGACCCAGACTTAGGGGTCAAGGAGGGCTTCCTGGAGGAGGGGACAGCTGAGCTGAAGATGGGAGGATGAATAAGTAGTTCTCCAGGGAAGGGGTGGGAGTTGAGGAAGAGTGTTGCTTTTTTCTTAATCCTCACCCAAGGATAGAGAGAGTGGAAGGGAGGGAGGGAGAAAGGGGAGAGAGAAGCATCGATATGAGAGAGACACATCAATTGGTTGCCGTTTGCTAGGCGCCAGGGATCAGGCAGGGGATAGAACTTCCAACCTAGGTACATGCCCTTGACCCTTGGGTGCTTGGGCTGACCCTCTAACCACTGAGCAACACTGGCCAGGGTGAGAAAGAGTGTTTTAAGCAGCTAGAACAGCAAGTGCAAAGGCCTGGGCTGACCCTCTAACCACTGAGAAACACTGGCCAGGGTGAGGAATAGTGTTTTAAGCAGCTAGAACAGCACGTGCAAAGGCCCTGAGGCAGGATAGTGCCTGGGGTGTTCCAGGAACAACAAAGACCAGCTTGGTTAGGAGTGGATTTGCGTTTTATTCTGATTAAGATGTGGACATCTATTTGCATGGGTTGGTCAAGCTCAACAACTTTCTAAACGGTCCCTAAAATTAATTCTTAATTGTTGTTATTGATGGATTACTCTGTACGTCCCTGATATCTCCTGAACAGACAGCTACGGCGTGGACAAGAAGCGGAAACGGGGGATGCCCGACGTCCTGGGAGAGCTGAACAGTTCTGGTGTGTCCCCTCTGCCCCTCCCCACACCATCTCCAGGTCCCCCCTGTCCTGCCCTGCCCCAGGCTGGGGAGGAGGGGCTGTTGGGTCCAGGGGTCCTCACCTCTGCCTTCCCGCAGACCCCCATGGCATCGAGAGCAAGCGACGGAGGAAAAAGCCAGCCTTCCTGGACCACTTCCTGCCCAGCCATGGCTCAGGTGGGTCCCAGCTCTGTGCCAGCTCCTCCCCTCTGGGGTGGGCTGAGGGTGAGCTGCAGCCCTGCTTTTCGGGCTTCTTCTGGTCCCCCCAGAGCTCCCACAAGGCGAGTGACACCCCACTTAGCCAGCAACATAACGTGGGAAAAATAGCCATTCTAGACGCAGCCCGGAGGCTCTGGTCTCCACCGGACCATCTACTTGCTGTGTGACCTTGGCCAAGTTGCTGCACCTCTCAGAGCCTCAGCGGCGTGCCTGCCAAGTCTCACCACGTACCTCTCTCACTGGCCTTTTAACATTTCATGTCTTTATTTTACAGACACTGTATGACAGGCGCATAAGTGCTTTGTGTGTCTTTTCTCACTTGATCTGCGCCATCGCCCCGCAAGGTGGCTGCTATCATTCTCCCCAGCCCCTGCTTTCCTGGTGAAAAACACTGAAGCTCAGAGAGGAGAAGCTCTTGTCCAAGGTCACACAGTTAGTCCCGGTGGAGCAGGGAGTTGCATCTGAGCATCAGTATAGATCAGTGATGATGCGTGTGAAACAGGGAGCAGGGAGTAGGAGGTGGACAACTGGGGATGGCTGTCAGAGCCAGCCAACCTCAAGGTCAGAGCCTGTCTAGCCCAACCATCCTCTGGCCTCCTCTCCCCCTGCCTTCATCTCAACTCACATGCCAGTCTCCAGTCCTATCTGGCTGCCATCAGAGACCTCCCACCTGCTGACCACTAGCTCTTAGAACACTGTTCCCGACACCCCGCTGCCCCAGGGCACCAGCTCCCAGCCAGCCACCAACCACTCAGTCAGCCCCGCCTGGACATCGCAGCCAGACCCACCCTGGGTATTGCCAGTACCATTTGTTGTCCCTCCCACCCCACTGCAACGGGTAACTAATGCCCAGCCTCTCCACCCCCATTTGTTATGAGCATGTTTAATTGTCTTCACAGCAAAACCCAACACGACAGAGGTTTCAATAGGACAGAATTTATTTGTCCTTTCACATAAACACAGTCCAGAGGTAGGTGGTCCAGGGATGCTTTGGTGGCTGCATGATCAACAGAATCTCAAGCTCCTGCCTTTTTCAACTCAGTTTCCATGTCATGGTCCAGATGTCTGCTGCAGCTCCAGCCACCATGCCCACATTCCAGCCAGCAGAACTCAGGCAGGGCCCATATCGAGCTGCAAGGGACGCTGGGAAATAAAATCCCAGCAGCCCTGTGTTTCTTTCTGAGATCAGCATAATCAGACTTTGCTGGTGAAGTGTGTCTTGTCTCAAAAACAGAGGCTCTCCTAGAACGACACTTGTCATTTTACCTCCCAGTTTGGGGACTGGCGACTTCTCCCATGGTGTGGATATTTCACTTTTTGGATTGTCTTTATATGGGGGGAGGGAGGGAGCTTTTGAGCCCATTCTCCTTCCTCATTCTTAGGGAAAACTCCCCAGCATCGCAGTATTGTTTCAACCCTGGTTCTCCCTGGGATTAAAGGAGGCCACACTGATCACACATTTAGCCTGGGACTGGCCATTGGAGTTAGAACCTGGCCAGAAGTTGACTCTAAAGCCACCACGCTTCCTTCTCTCTCTTCTCATCCCCGCAGGCCCGTTCCTCCCACCGTCCACCCTGCTGCCCGATTCAGACTTCTTTCCCAGCCCCGTGTCCGTGTCCCTCCCTGGCCTGGAGCCCCCTGGTGGGCCGGACCTCCTGGACGATGGCTTTCCCTATGAAACCACGAACCCTGCACTCTTCACCATGCTGGACATGCTGCCCCCGGCTCCGCCACTTGCCAGCGCTGTCTCAGGCAATGGGGTTGCAGGGGCCACGGTCGGGGAGCCGTCGGGTCCTGAGCCAATGACACTGGACTCATACCAGGCTCCAGTCCCTGGGGACGGGGGCACTGCCAGCCTTGTGGGCAGCAACATGTTCCCCAACCAGTACCGGGAGGCGGGCTTTGGGGGTGGCCTCCTGTCCCCCGGGCCTGAGGCCACGTAACCACCTCAGTGCCAGAGGAGAGGCGCTGGGTGGGGAGGGAGGTAGACGGGGCGGTGGGAACCCAGCCAGGATGGGCAGTACCCCCCTGGGGCCCCCCTTGGTCAGGTCTCCCCACCTCATCCTTCTGAATCGGACCGGACGTTTTCTGCATCGGTGAGAAGCTCTGCAGCACAGGGTTTCCCCTGAGCCCATTTCACAAATGAAAACTGAGTCCAGAGAGGAACGGGACTTTGTTCCCATGCACTTAGTCCCCAGAGTTGGGGACACCTTCTCCTGGATGATTCTGACGAGTGTACATACGGAGGACGGTATTCCAGCCCCCCTTCCCCAGGAAGGTAGGGGATAGGCTGTTGTCTTTCCAATAAAGATGAGTTTTGAGCCTTAGGGGTCTTGTCTCTTTTTTTTTGTTATTACTAGTTCCTCCTCCATCTATTCTTATAATGTTTATCTGCCCATTCGGTTTTTATTCTTTTTTGTTTTATGTATTTACTTTTTATTTATTGTTGA